TTGGAGATCTTAGAGTGACAGACTAAAATCCCTAATTCAGTCTTATCGTTTGGGTGTTGAAGTGTAGATGTTAGCCCTCAGGCGAGGGGAATATGGGAGCTCCAAAGTGAGAGCGGTATCCTCCCAGCCTAGCTGCAGATTCAGTAAACAAGCGTAAGATTAGTTAATGTTCTTTCTGTCTTGACCAAAGGGTAAAAAATAGGTTTGCTCATATTTGACGCAATACAATTTGAACCGATTCACTTTATCCATTCACTATAATTTTCTGACAAGGAGAAGGATATTTTCTTATATATTTAATATCGCATTAAAAACCTTATTAATATAATTAGTTATTTAAGAGTTATTAAAATTACATATTTATTTCAATTGCCTATTAGTGACAGATAAGCAATTTGAATTCCATTGTTGCGATTAAGTATTGCTTTTCTAAAATCTTAAAATCTTAGTTCGTAATTACTCCCTGTGGGATCGATATCTAGGACTCCATTGGAGCCCTATATTACTTGAGCGATACGTATACTTGCGTTGATAAGTGTGACTTTACCACTATTGAATATTTTAAACATACATCTTTATCGAATCTATAACTGTTATTAAGTTTTTGGTGCAGTTGCTAAGGAATTACATCTTTTAGCAGCAGTATTAAATACTTATATTTTTAAGCATATATAAAGTCGCTGTCAAAAATCACAGCGAGCTTAGAGCAAATGGTGAGGAAAATGATGACAAACCCGATCAAGATCCATAGTTCTATCATCTCGAGTTGTTATGGTTCCAGGTCTATTTAGTCAATGGAGAAATTTGACCCAACCTGACAAAATAATCATTGTCAACAGCCATGGGATGTTTCATCCAAGGGGACCTTGTAAACCTAAAGTGAATGTTTGTTTAAAGAGACTAATGAAAATCAATCTTAGCTTGTAGAAGACTTTTCGCCCTATTGAATATACCCTATGATTTAATACTTAAAAGGAAAGACCGTCATTGGGGAACAAACCAGCTACAATCGTGATCATAATATAATAGTGTCATTTGACAACAAACCACCTGGTCAGAAGGCTTTGGTCATAACCGCTTCTTTGAGGTGTCATTTTGAGGCTAGAACCACATGGAAAGAGGACTCAAGTCATGTCCTTACTAGAATAAGATTCATTTTGGAAATGAATTTAGTATATTATACTTAAATAAAATTGGCTCTTTTTCAGCTCGAGTCAACAATAGATTTATCCACCTCGACAAACGGCTGCGGTGGGTGGATGGATTTTTACTTTAGGTATTAGGTGATAAAGTTTCATTAAATATAATTTTCTAATGATTTAAAATATTTTAGTTTTATAAATAAACTCCTTCGATTGAAATTTACGACCAACACAGCCTTTATAGAAAAAATGATTATCTTTAAACACTGTCAACTCTGTCTCACTTGCAGAAAATTCAGTTCAATAATTGAAATAATTGAATTTGAAATAGACTTTGAGATAATTTTAAAATAGACACCTCCAATTTAGATTCACTATCAACACGACCATCATCGGGGATTGTTGTCTTTGAACCCTGTTGACTCTATTCCACTTACAGAGGATCGAGTTAGTAATACACACACACACACACACACACACATCTTTTGAACTTATTCAATTTGAATTTAGAACATAATTTTGAAAATAGACTACACAATTTAAATTTATTATCAACACGACCATAATCAAGGATTGATGTGAATTTATATATCATTCAGAGCACTAGTCATGTCAAAGCCAATCATCGTGAGGAGGAGGATCAGACAGACTCAGCGGAGGCTCAATCTTGTCGACTCCGATCGATGTAAGGAGGATCAGATTAGCCAAAGAGTAGGACTTACGACCTCGTCCTTTAGACAAGGCAGCCCATTGCCCGTGCAACATTCTTAAACACGTAAGCATGATGCAGGTATTTTAATTTAATTATTTGGAATTGATTTTAAATAGCTTTGCATGTGTTTAGAGACAATTGGTTTTGAGCTTAAGCACACGTTTTAACCCGCAGAACTTTCTTGGACTTAGCATTTTGGTCGGAGCACATGAGAGTATTTTATATTTTTTATTTGTCACTTTTGATTGGATTTTAGAGAGTTTTATTGCTATTTGCACTAGTATATTATCACTGAGATGCGTGCAATAATTTTCATTTAAGCTTTTAGTTTTCTCCTTATGTTTGTTTGTGTATGTGAGATTGTGGATAAGTTGGCGAGCATGCAAAAGCTTAATTTCAAGCGTCTTAGTATCGGCTTCTGTCCGCTTCTAGATGCATGTTACAGATTCGGTAGGGTTGAAGACGATCTAGATTTCAATTGCATATTTATTATTATGTATCTCTCCCATGGCTTCCTTTTAAGTGTTTAAGTGCACCCTCACAGTTTTCATTCAAGCTCATTGACGAGCCTTCGAGTCCCCTATAAGTCGTGTAGGTT